ACTATGTGTTGAGCTATAAATGTAGGGACTTGGTAAGTCGTCACACAATGCCAGAGAATAGGGAAGATGGTGCATAAGGGGGAGAAAAGGAATGGGTAAGGTGGTGGAGATGAGGTCCATCAAGTTATGGGTGGCTGGAAAGTGAGGCGATGGGAACATGCACAAGAGAGGTGAGAGACAAAGCAATGTGATGTGGGGTGAGGAGGAAGGTGCAACACATAGTGAAAGGTGGGGGAAGGATGTGGGTTACCGTTGTGAATATTTCCTTCCCCCACCTTTCACTATGTGTTGAGCTATAAATGTAGGGACTTGGTAAGTCGTCACACAATGCCAGAGAATAGGGAAGATGGTGCATAAGGGGGAGAAAAGGAATGGGTAAGGTGGTGGAGATGAGGTCCATCAAGTTATGGGTGGCTGGAAAGTGAGGCGATGGGAACATGCACAAGAGAGGTGAGAGACAAAGCAATGTGATGTGGGGTGAGGAGGAAGGTGCAACACATAGTGAAAGGTGGGGGAAGGATGTGGGTTACCGTTGTGAATATTTTCTTCTATACTTTTACATTGATTAAAATGTAATCAATGTAGATTGTTTTGTTCTTTACCGCATATTTGTTTTAAAATCTTAATTTGATTTGGCTTTCTTTTTGCTCCCTTTTCTGTTCTGGTTCTAGGCAATTGCAAATGCATGCAAAGTTTCAGCAACATCTGTTTCTGTGTTGAGTGAATCAGATGTATCCGATGAATGTGAAACACAATTCAATGAAGATCAACAATTAGAACAACTTATAAATGGTCAAATATGCTTTAAAATTTACCCATTTGCAAATGGTATGGCTAAAACTCTGAGCAGGAGCAATATTAATTATTGATACAGTTACATTTACATTCTACTTATTTATAACTTTTAATCTTTTGGTTGCAGAGACACCATCCGAAAGGAAAATAATAATGCCTGGTTCTTTCAATCCATTACACGATGGGCATATCAAGCTTATGGAAGTTGCTATTCGGTAGATAAATCTGTGTTTTTTGTTAAAAAAAACTCAATTTAAAAAAAAAAGAAGGTTAATCTAATGGATTTTCACTGGTCATAAAATATGAATTACTTGTTTCTTATTTTTTTTTCTGGTTATATTTTAATATGCTTGTTATAGATATGTGCCTTTCATGAAGCTACTCTTTTAATTTGCTTTTAGAAGTTAATATAAAATATTCAATTATATTGATATTTGTTGTAATCTTAATGTTATTTATTACAAGTAGCTACCACTACAGTAAAAAGATATTTTAACTAGGACATTTAGATGTTGATATTGTGTCAACACTATAATGAAATATCGTAACTGATTGGGCGAGTGTAAAATTTACATTATATTATAGAAAGTAATATTTTTCTTCAGTATCAATCTATTTTGAGATTCTGATAATCTAATTAGGATCGGATATTTGTACGCATGATGATTTATTTAAACTTCATTTCTTTTGTTCACAATTTTATTTTAATATTTCTCTTATTAAGAATGCATCTATGCAGCATTTGTGGTGATGGGTATCCTTGCTTTGAAATATCTGCAATCAATGCAGACAAACCTCCGTTATCAGTGTCTCAGATCAAAGATCGCATTAAGCAATTTGAAAAAGTTGGTGAGATTCTTTTTTGATTATTCCAGGTTCTATATTAAAAGTGCATAGGTCTTAAACTTATAAATGCACAAGTTTCTTAAGTATCATTTCATGTACCAATTTATGAAGGGGACTCTGCTTCCATTTTTATATCCAACAATGGGTTCTTACCTTTCTATTTGCGCAGTGAATACTGAACGGGATTCATGTCTTGTTTTTAGTTAAAAAATTTAGGATAAGCTCATATAACAATATGATACTTGGAGTTTAATACTTTTTCTCAGTGCTTAGTTTGTCATTGTTTAATGCGCCCCCTAAACTAGTAAATGATTTCTCCAATGGCAGGAAAGGCAGTAATTATATCCAATCAGCCTTATTTTTATAAGAAGGCTGAACTTTTTCCAGGCAGTGCTTTTGTAATTGGTGCTGACACAGCAGTGAGGCTTATTAATGTATGAAATTACTTGCTGCTTGGATTAATTTTACATGATTTTCACCATGTCATGTCTTGCACTTCTTTAATACTTGATTGTTTCATTAGTAGTGTTTGGCATGCTTTCTGAGGATGTAACCTCAGTTTTGTAAAGCAGCTCAATCCCTGGTTTCTGCTGAATAGTTTCACTGCCCCTCGATTTATTTTATATTTTACTTTGGAGAATGCTTTTGCTGTCGTGGAAAAGCACGTTTTATTCATTAGAATGTTATTTCAGAAAACATATTGCTTATGCCATTTTCTTATAGGTGAAGGGGGTAGATCAATCTGACTGTCTAACGTTTCCCTATTCCATTGTATATCAATCTGCAGTTCTGTGGTTTATGTCATGACATTCGTGAAGTGGACTGATTTTTTTCAAACAATTGTGTATTTTTGTTTAAAAATGTTTCCCAATATGTGTAGTTTGTCTGGCACTCTGAAACTGTTTTTATTCCTTAAAGATAATGAGTTAGATTAATGGAGATAAGGAACATTTCCGTTAGATTGACTGATTTTGAATAGGGACCTACGTACCATATTGACTACTTTAACTATTATATTATGGTATATATTTTGGTTTCGGGGGATACTCATAGAAAAAGAAACTTAGTAGTGTTGTGATTTGAAATAGTATAACTTCAGCAGTGAACATAAATATGTTTATATAAAATCCAAAGGATTAAAAAAGAAAAGGAAACATGTGGGTCGTTTTAGTTTGAGAAAATGTTTTATTTATTTATTTTAGTTTCTATTATCAAATATGTGTAAGAAAATAGGTTGAATACATTGCTAAGTCTTTGAACTTTTTGAAAGTTTTTTATTAGGTCTCTGAACTAAAAAAATTATAGTTAGGTCCTTGCTCTTCTACAATTTATTTAAATGTCCTTGAAATTAGTTTATGACGGCTTGCAGCCATCAGAAAAATAGTGTTAGTTTTAGGGACCCAATTGCAAACGATGTAGAAGATCAAGGACTCCATTACATATATTTTTTAGTTTAGGAGCCTAATTAAATATTTTAAAAAAGTTTAGAAACCTACTGATATATATCAAACTTTTTGTGAAAACTTTTTATATATCGAAGTTTAGTAAAAACAACTTTTTATTGTCTTCCCATGCAAACTTTTATAATCGAGAAACATAATAAAACAAGGTAACATTTTTGTAAATAAAAGTGAATAAAAAATGACTATATTTTCTCAAATCAAACTGGCCAATAGGAAGAAACAAGAAATGTCTCATTCTCTGTTTCCTGTCTCTGCTGCTTTATTGTGGATGTCAAGCCAAAAGTCTGAAGGGTGTACGAGTTGACCTGTTCAGTTCCAAAATTCCCACTTTTTATTTTCTTTGTAGCAAGAATAAGTGTACTTTCCTTGTTGCTTCAATGAATTTTATTAATTAATATCTTCATACACTTGCGTGTTACTTTTGCAGCCTAAATACTATGATGGTGACTACAACAAGATGCTGAAGATTCTTGTTGGTTGTAAAGAAACAGGATGCACTTTCCTTGTGGGTGGTCGGAATGTAGATGGTGCTTTCAAGGTATTAATGCATTAGAAAATAGTAACTCTAAATTTGATATTTTTACGTTAGTATTAGTGAGGCCATTGTGTGGTTTGCAGGTTCTAGACGATATCGATGTTCCAGAAGAACTGAAAGACATGTTCATCTCCATTCCAGCCGAACAGTTCCGCATGGATATATCTTCCACTGAAATAAGAAAAAGAAGTGGGATGTAAATAATTTTATTGACTAATCAAGGATGAAATCACCAACACAAAAGAGAGGGAGCAGGAATGTTATTTGAACTATCATTGTCATACTATTTTGTTATAGAATAAACAGAAGTACTTTTCAGGGCGAAGACACGACACTTGATTCATAATACATGAAGTCCCGTATGTGTAAAACATGTACTGAATATTCATGCATGAGACACAACACTCCTAATCCGAAAGGGAGATATGTCTGTATAGTGTCCATGCTTAGTTTTTTGTAGCTGTAAAAGACAATAATGTCTCTGTGCACCGTAGATGACTTTGATTTGTGTTAGTGTGTATTGTGAAAGAGTGAAGGATATGATGTAGATACGATGGTTTTAGTTAGTGGAGTTTGAGAAGAATGTTCGTATCTTAAATCTTTACCCTGCAAGAAGAGTAGACATGTCAAATGCACTCAAACTTGTGGGTACTTGTCTGAATCTGTTTTGACTTTGACGGGTTTCTTTACTTTGATCGGATTCGTTTTATTTAGTGCCAAAATTAGGAATGGGGTAGGAATGTTGATATTTTTAAATGTGCTTGTGTCTATTTTGATTCCCTTCACCCTCTTCCTCTTCATGATTATTGGGTTTCCTAAAGGAGCTTATTCTGTAAGTATCAAGACTCGATCCTTAATGCTCCTCCTTCGGTGAAGAATCCAACCCAAGCAACAATGAACAGCAGAAAACCAAAAATAAGAGGAAAACAACCTCATGTTTGGAGCCTCCAATCTTGCTGAACCTTCATCCCTTTGCTTGAGTTACCATCTCATTCCCAGCCACTGTTGCAATTTTCAATTATTATGAAATTTTCAATGTGTGCAATAGAAGGTTAAGTGTACTAAATTATAGTGTCCATCCCCATAGGCTTGTAAGTCTTACTTATATAGCTCGAGGCAAGACGGTCTCTCTAGTGTGATGGTGTGAGGATTGAGCTAAATCCCTTGATTTGTTGTAGTTTTTGTGTCAACAATCCATGGTTTATGCCAACTAGTCCTCATACACAAAAGAAAAAAAGTACATTTCTTGCACCCCGAGTCTTTTAGGATTCCCCATCCACAATACAATACAGAAATATACCTCACCCTCCTTGCAATTTAAAGAAAGATATTGTTGAAGTCAATCTTTGTGATAGGGATTACAACTTGAAAGCACACACTCATTTCTCAACACTTGAATGCAATAGATATTAGAGTCCTTGATCACTGATTCTCATTATATTCATTGCAATTATATTTATATGGTGTAAGGTAAGATTCGTCAAAGCTCTAAATCAACTCAAACAAATTTAGAAAGAAAAAAAGAAGAAGAAGAAGCTATTTTCGTTGCTACACAATTTTGCAATTAATTACTACCTTATGATAGATTAAAGTGATTTTTTTTGCTTCTTGTATTTAACTAAACTACTGCATAATTGATTAAAGTGTTTTTTTTATAACACCGATGTTTGATTTAAGCGTAATATAAGTGACTAAATCATTTGGTAACCGATTGAAACAAAGTAGGCGTCAAAATCTACTTTCTCAATAGATTAAGGTGTTCATGTATTAAATTATGATGTTTTAACTTTTTGAAAAAACGCATCATTTGTAATCTCTTATAACAATACTAGCTTGAGATTTTTTAATGTATTGAAGTCTTGATACTCAATTTAAACTTTTTTAAAAATTAGATTTTTTGTATTGAGAAAAGAACAACCCAATATTTATAACACATACTCAAGATTAAATGAATATGTAATCAAACCCTCGAGGTCTTCTTTATACCTTGCCTTCCATAACAGTGATTATTCTAACTCGGAAAAAAAAACTTTTGAAATAACTAACCTAACATATTAATTATTGAGTTTAATGATTATTCATTATAGTGCAAGAAATTTTAGGTTAATAATTATTGTAAAAATCATAAATTTATCATATACAACAATTTGTGATTACTTAACGATATGTAAACTATTATCTCTTAAACATATATTATTTTCATAACAATATTTCATGAGAGACAACGTGGAGAAAAAATATAAATATTTCTCTTGGTGAAAATTTAAATTGTAATTTGTCTATTTGTTAGAAGTTGGACCAATTTTAATTTGAAACTCGTCTCCTTTTTCGTAGATCCAAAGCTCACTTTCCGTTTGTCGTTCCTCTAATTTGAAAATAATATACATATTTTGTTTTAAATGATATAATTTCTCTTTGGTGGTTTGTTTTATTATTTTTATTAAATGTAGTAGTATATTATTTGTGAGTAAGCAATAATAAAAAAAGACAAGAAGTGATTTGATTTCACGCATTTACTTGGTTGGGTGGTACAATGATTTCATAGCATCCTATCCTGGAGAGAAAAAAACAGAAGAGAAGCATGTGGCAATATAATATAATATAATATAATATAATATAATATAGATACTCTCCTTAACCACCGCAGCCTCCGCCACAGGCTGAACCACAGCCACCACCGCAGACAGAACCGCCGTTGCGGCAGTTGTTGTCTTCAGAGGCTCTCTTGGAGTCTTTGGGCACTCCATCTGCACAGAAGAGGACGATGAATGCAACAAGAGAAAGGCTCACACATAACGCTAAAACAATTGCAAGCTTTTCACCACTTCCTTCCACTTCATATCTCGTGAATGCCACCATCTCTTTCACTGCCAAATGTGAATGCAAGGTTATGGCTATGGAACAAAGATAAAGAGACATGGTGGAACAGTGTCCTTTCAGGGCCACCAAAAGGTGACGTGGAACAGTGTCTGCTACATACCAAAACACTACAACACGTGAATGCTTCTAAAATTCTACATTAATAAAATTTAAAAAATTGAGGGCAGTGATTTATAATTTATTGACCTTCTTCTAGGGCAGTGAATTATAAACTATAAACTATACGCACAAAAATTAAAGAACTTAATCCTATATATAATCTTATCCTTAATGATAGTATATATATGTGAAACCGACAGAATTTGCTCCTTCTTTGCGGTTGCGGCTATAATTTATATTTTATGATTAACTAATTTGGATATCGTTTATCAGATTTTTTTATTGGTAGAAATTACAACGATGGAAAGATAGTTTGAACCTAAGGCACACTATTCTCAACTCTACTACTAAGCGCAAGTGATTTTTGCTAATCAGATTTGAGACTCCTGCAAGTTTTGGTTTAAAAATTTAAAATAAAAAGTTTTTTTTTTTAATATTAAAAAGTTACATTATATATCATGAAAGTTGCAGTCGTACATACTAACAATAGTTAGTATAAGTAATAACAATTTATATAAAATAAATTATATTAGAAAATTAAGGAATATCTTCTTTATATGTACTTATAATTTTCAACAGAAATCAATCATTAGTGACCGACTAAGAGTGGACAAATTTTTTTAACTAAATTACACTATAAAAAATTAAATTATTTGTAAAACAAAATTAAACAAAACTACAAAAATTGAACTACTTTTTTAAAAAGGTAAAATTTAAATGTGTCTAAAATTGTCTATTGATGGGTTAGTCCAATAACCCAGTGGTTTAAACTTTGAAAAAAAGTTATTCGAAAAAAGTAGTGTAAATTTGATCAGATCTAGAAGGCCAATTAGATTATGTTGTGTCATTAATTTTTAAGCTTGAAACTTATCGAGTCTATTTCACACTATATTTTTTATATTTTTTTTTGAGAAATTTAAATAAAATAAAGTTGATGAATTTGTCTTAAATTGATCAAAACAGTTCAATTCAAATTATCATAATATTTCAATGCAATTTGAATTATAATTCAATTCAAATTTTTATATTATAAATCAATTCAATGAAAAAAAATTAGTTAAACTTAATTTGTTTAAACTAATGTATTCAGATGAACTTTTTTTTATTTAAATTTTGGTGCAATTTGTGTAAGTTCAGTTCATTTTGCTTCTCCTATTCTCACAGTAAACATTTTATATTAATATCATAATTTTTTTTTAAAAAAAATTAGTGGTACACTTTCTAATAATTTTTTTTATTTCTTAAATAGTGTCCCCGCCCTGAAAACCTTGGTCAGCATGTTCCAATTAATTTTTCGGTTGGGTCATTTTCTTTAATTTCTGTATTAAGATTTTGAAATTAGTATTAAGAAATTTGCTATAATTTTAATTTCTGAAACTAGAGTTATTAGTATCAATAGTTGAAATGCATATAAGCATTTTAGCTTAGTTGTTAAACTCTACATTTTAATAAAAAAAATGTCCTCTTACCTAATTTTCTTATATTTGATTCAGTCTAGTCACTTCTTTTCCGATACTCATGTTTCAGTTAAACAATTTCCACTTCTTATTTTTTTTTTCAATTCTTTATAATTTAGTTAGTTTTGATTTTTGTTTAAAAATATCTTTTAAATTAAATGGTTTTAATAATGGTTTAATAAATCAACACTTAATTCTAACCATAATTTTCTCACCCATAAATATGATTTGTATTATTTATAGACCAATAAATACTTACATAAAGAATGAGTAGGTCTTATTATATACTCTCTTTGTCCCTAAATATAAGATTTCTTAAATATTTATACTATTTCATTTTGTTTATTTTTTTAAAAATATTTTATTTTAATTATCATTTTACAATATTAATGAAAATATAAAAGAGTACAAATATAGAGGTGTCAACTTGAGAAGAAAACCAATGAATCAACTTGATTCATCATAGGTTTAAGCTAATAAGTCTGGTTGAAAAAATTCAAATTATGATAATTTTAACCCAAGATCAAATCACATAACTCACGAGTCAAACCTATTCAAACTAAATTGACCTATCTAACTTGTTTAAAATTTAGAATTTGTTTAAATATAAATTTAGAAATACTTTTGAAATATTTTTTTTTATTTTCAATAAGGAAACTCTAAAAAATGAATAATATTTTATTTTGTATTTTTAATTTGAATGATGTCATTAGACCACTTGTCTATGTTACTTAAATGGTAATATTATATGTTTAAATGGTATCATTTTGATCATCTTATTTGAATTGTATTATTATATTTTATTTTTTTTATTTAAATCACTGAACAACTTGATACATAAATATTACAATAAATATTATTTATTTATATTTAGATCATTAATTGACTTGTTGGAAAATTATAAATTTTAAAAAAAGATATTAATAATTTTTTTTTAATTTAATGAATCAACTCACTTAACCCATCAAACTTAAAGTCTATTAATTTTGTTAAGATTTATTTACTCATCAAAAAGGAAGATGAGTTGAGCAAACCCATTTAAAATCACCATGTGCAGTTCCATATCTGACCCTTAAAATTAAAAAATTTAATTTCAAAATGTTAATTTATTTTATAGTAAAATAAAATCAGTGGATGAGATTGATGCAGTTTTCAGAGGATGAAAAATCACTATTGAAAAAGTGTTTGGTGATGCAACGTGTTCCAATTATGGTGGAGTTGGCTTGCTATGTTTGGGAAACCATCTTTTCATGGATAGTCATGCCTACCAACCAATCAATGCATGTATCCTATCGTTTACAACTTCGGCTGAGGATAATACCCTCATTTGTGCCATAATAATACAAAATATAAACTGTAGAAAAATATTTTAATTTTCTTAAAATTAGAAGGGAAAAAAAGATATTTGCACTACCTGGTGAATTATTTTGGCCAAACTTTGCGCATCAATGCATTAGTTAGCCTATCTAACTGGCACCCAAACTTAAATGAGTTTTTTTTTTTTTATAAATTTTTTTATATAGAAATATTTGTACATTTTTTTTTCATTACAAAAGAGTATTTTCAGACAATCTTCCTAGAAAGTTTAGAAATATTGGTATTTGAATTAGTTTTTGATTTTTTTTCAAATGAGTTTGTTAAACATTGCTATTTGCGTAGGTACATAAATTGGTCCATTTAACTGCAATGCAAATTGAGTATATCCGCAAACTGAAACCACTGTTTAAAACAAATAAATTTTTTTATTAGATTAATTTATAATCAAATTTTAATCACTTCACGATAACTTTTCCTTAAAAATATCATGCATTATGTTAAATATTTTATTTCCAATGTTAGGTTATACTATGTATTTTCCCTTAAAAAAAGTTATACTATGTATTTATAAAAATCATTATGCATACTAATATTGTTAGTATAAATAAAAATATTATTATACAAATATATTTGAATTAAATGCATTTTTTACGAATAAGGATTCTCCATTACATGTGTCGAAACTTTCCAGTTGTGCTGTCTTGTGGAACATTATTCAAATATTCTTAAAGTTTGAATATCATGATTGAGATTAAAAGAAAAGAAAAAAAAATTAAGCATGCTGCAGTAAGATATTGTAACTACTACTAACTATCAGTAGACTCGTGGCAGCTAATTACCTAGTTTAAGGATAGTTAGCCACGGTAGGTCATAGCCTCATAGGCTATCTTTGTTGCACTTTTCGTTTATTTTTAACTGTGTTATTCAGAGAAATAAAAAATAAAAAATCAATCTCTATATATTAAAAAATAAATTTTTATCTTACTTGAAAGTATTTTTAGAAATTTTATTTTCAATAAAAAGGAGTTTATAATTTTTTTTAACTTCTTTTTTAATTTGATTTTTATTTAGCATAATTATTTATGAATTAAATTTTAATATTTAAAAATAAATTATCAATCAATAAAAATAATATTGTCCAAAAATATAAACTAGTTATAAAAAATTTAAAATATAATTTGTATGCTTAAAAATATCTATTTATATAAATTTTAATTATGTATAATAAATATTTAACATGTGTATTACATAGGCTAAAATACTAATTATATATTATTTTTGAAGTATAAGATAACTGTAATTATTTTTTCAATATATCTTCATTTTCCACTTACAATTTTTATTTATTTATTTACACATTGGCTTAAATATGTTTTTAATCCCTCAAATTTAGGGTAAATTTATTTTTGGTCTCTCAAATTTAAAATTATTATTTTTAGTCCTTGTAATTTCAAAAAATCTTATTTTAGTCCTTATATTCAAATTTTGTTAAAAAATTTATCAAACATTATTGCATAAAATTTACCTATTGGTGTCCCTATTAGTGAAAATATCACATTAAATCTGGTTGATATTGCATAACTATCTTAATTAGTCACTTTCAAATATGTTATTGACCTAAGGGACTAAAATAAGATTTTTGAAAATTACAGGCACTAAAAATAAAAGTTTTAAATTTGAATGACCAAAAACAAATTTGTCTTAAATTTGAGGGACTAAAAACATATTTAAGCCTAACTATTTTATGAAGAGTGAAAAGAATTATTGTATTTCCTATTTTATGTATAAAACCTTAAAGATATTAAAAAGAACAAAAATATAACAAAAAAATTAGACATAGAAATAAATAATGTTTATGTTTTCAGCACAATTGAAAATATAACTAATATTTTAAATTATATTAAAATATTATTTCCTCCCTTCTTTTTTAAGTATCATTTAATGCTTTTATAAACAAACTAAAATGCAATAATTTTCTTGTTTTTCATAAAATAGTTTTTAAAATTTCTATTATATCATTTTTTTAAATTTCTATTCCACAATAAATACATAATTAATGTAAAAGTGTGAATTAATTAAAAGTTAGATAAAAAATAAAGATATAATTAACAAAAGAATAATTAATGTTATTTAAAAACTTTAAAACTGACATAAATAAATACAATCTTTTGTAAAACCCAACAACTAAAAAGAGACAGAGACAATACGTAATTTCTCAATATATTCCTTATCTTTCGTGTTAATTAGACTCATTTCTACTATTTTAAAAAAGTATTTAATATTTCAATAACATTTATAATACTTCGTTTCTACTTTCCATACATCTGTAAAAAGCATGTAATATTGCTTCATTAAAATATAATAATCAGAATGAGATTATTTATTACTATTGCTAAAATGTGAAAGAAAATGGCACGTAAAGATGATATTAAAGTCTGTTTAGTTTCGTCTTGTTCGTAACTAACAAAAAAATTAATTGCATTAAAAGTGATCTAGAATCTGATACCCAATAATAGTTGCATTAAAAGTGAACCACAATCTGGCAAAGGAGACAAAATTTCCCTGCAATGTTAGGCGCTTTAAATTCTGAAATCACCACCACCTCGGAAAACATTTATGTGACCACAGCTTTCTGCACCCAATTGTGCGTGCAATTTTGCTAAAGAAAGAAAAACACCCCTCACTGCAATTTGCACATCACCAAAAAACAGCACCAAAATTCATACCAACAAGACATGTTACTTTCATACAGGGCATTCACAATCCTACCATTCATTCATTCCAAATCAAGAATCACGTTATCATACATCAAAATGGTCCGAACCAATAGGGAAGACAAAAAAACAATAAATACAAGTACAATACACCATGTAATAATTCATCCACTTTCAAAACAACCTATTGGTAGTTGCAACTTGCAACAACGTTGGGATATCAATAAATGAAGGCAAGTCAGCCACAAAATAAAAATAGATCAAGAAATCTAGCACAAGATATAGATATCCCAGTATAGTATATGTTTGCTACACATTTAAAAAAAAAAAACTTAATGACTAGGTAAGGAAGAAATTCTAGTAGGCATCTCTGAAGCATTGGCAAGGCCCTGCAACATTCTCAAAATCTCGCTTGTGTCGTCCAAGTAATACTTGGCCTTGCTAGGTTTCTGGCCAACGGTGCAAGGGAACACCTCAGCAACTGGAGATAGTGATGCCCTTGCATTCATTATCACCCCAAACATGTCCTCATCTGATCTGTCATCCCCAATGCATAGAACAAAATCGGGAGTCACTCCCTTTTGTTGCATTGTTAAGAGAAGACGTTCTGCTACAATACCCTTACTCACACCCTGCACAAAAAATAGAATTAACTTCTCTGATCTACACAAGTTCCTTAGAAGTAATCCAATACCAAAATAGTAAATATGCATTCAAATTATGGGACTAACATAGCATATAATAGGGTTATTGAAACATGGTTCAGGGACAGTTATGAGCACAACTATAATAAGGTCCAAATCCAAAGATCCTTTCTGTCTTAAGTGGCCACACAAGTCACAACTATAAGATGCATAAACTTCTTCAAATATGACTAATCTAAAGATAAATCAAAAGTGGAAAGATTTTTTTTTAACCGACCTGAGGCTTTACTTCCACAATGTTTGGACTGCTTTTAACAGAAACAGGCTCATTGGCAAGAACACTTTCCAAATGATCAAAAAGCTCCTTAGCTTGGCATGAACCAAAGTCTCGATCTGCATACTCATAATTCCAAACAAGAGCGCTTTCTTTGGCCTCTATGTTAGAACCATCGGTTGTTTCCGTATATAACTGCATAACTGGCTCGGCAATCTGTTTCCACTCAAAATCAGGCACCGGAACACAAGCTTCCCATTCTGCATTTTGATTTGCCCTGGACAAATAAAAGAGATAAACTTTAGTTAAAGTAAATAAGCAAGCTCTGCCAAGGAAAAGGATTTTCCTCGCCATTCTCTCATGCATAAAATGGAAGAGTGAATTTATTTTATTTTGATATAGAAAACCCAAATATGATCCCTCAGTTCCATCAAATTTGGGACAAAAAGAATCAAATTTTATCATTCTTAAAATTAATAAAATAAACAAGCAAAAGGATATACTACACCTCACAAACTCTCCCTGTTCCTAACACACAAGGAAAAAGGATATACCTCACAAAATAACCATGCTCTGCAGCAATTCCCATCCTTTCACAAGAAGAAAACCATTCAGTAAGAGTCTTTCTCTCCCTTCCACTTACAATGAAAACACAATTCTTGGTGTCCCTGCACAAGCTGTTCAAGAGGCTAACGGCTTCAGCATTAGGTGTTGTACTCATTGATCCAGGCTGCACCATAGTACCATCATAATCCAGAAGAATTGCTCGGTGCTTGGTCCTCTTATAAGCTGAAACAATATGTTCCACGGATAGCTTTCTAAAGTTTGGATCCAAAGCAATCACTCGAAAGCCTAAACCAAAACCAATTCCCCAGCATCTCCTCCTCAGATGCTCTCTGCATGCCCTTTCCAGATCCTGCAAGAAGCTACGTGCCCAATATGCAACATCATGCGTACTAACATACCTATAATGCTTCTCGTGCCGCATCTGCTTTTCAGCCTCCGGGACCATCAGCGCAGAATCCATAGCTTCAGCAACAGCATCAATGTTCCATGGATTTACTCGAATTGCCCCACTCAATGAAGGGGAGCAGCCAATAAACTCAGACACCACCAGCATGCTCCTCTTTTGAGCGAGAGGGTCTGTCCCTAAAATCTCATCTATCTTCTCATTTCCTTGTCTACAAATTACATATTCATAGGGTATAAGGTTCATCCCATCTCTCACTGCTGTAACAAGGCAACATTCTGCAATCACATAGTAAGCAATTCGCTCATAACTCTGAAGTGGTGTATCAATCAAGACTACAGGTGTGTATCCAGACCTTCCAAATGTATCATTTATCCTCTTCACCGTGGCATAAGTTTCACTTTGCACCTCCTGGACATCCTTTCCCCGGCCTCTTGCAGGGTTTGCAATTTGGACCAGAACAACTCTGCCCCTCTTATCAGGATGTTGTAAAAGCAATTGTTCCATGGCCAAAAGTTTTAAGCTGATTCCTTTGAATATATCCATGTCATCGACCCCAAGCAGCACAATTTGATCTCTGAATTGGTTTTTTAACTCTGCAACCTTGTTTTCTGTCTCAGGATGACTCATGACTGATTGGAGCTGACCTATATGAATACCAACAGGAAGAATCTTAATGCTTACAGTTCTACCATAGTACTCAAGACCAATATAGCCCCGCTTAGATTGGTAAGAAATCCCAAGCATTCTACTGCAGCAGGAAAGGAAATGCCTGGCATAATCAAAAGTATGAAACCCAATAAGGTCAGAATTCAGAAGAGCTCTAAGAAGTTCATCCCTAACAGGAAGGGTTCGGTATATCTCAGATGAAGGAAATGGACTATGGAGGAAGAATCCTAGCCTCACCCTGTTAAATCTCTTTCGCAAAAAAGTTGGGAGTACCATCAGATGGTAGTCATGAACCCACACAAAATCATCATCAGGGCTAATGACTTCCATCACTTTATCCGCAAATATCTTGTTCACTGAAACATAAGCTTGCCAAAGGGACCTATCGAATCGACCTCCAAGATCAGGTGACAGTGGAAGCATGTAGTGAAATAAAGGCCATAGATGTTGTTTGCAGAATCCATGATAGAATTTAGTAAAAAGCTCAGGAGGGAGGAACGTGGGGACGCATTTGAAAGTGTCAAGCAAGTACTGAGCAACATCATCTTGCTCACTTGGCTCAATCTCCTCTTTAAGACAACCAATATAGACAGTTTCCACATCATCCCCAAGACCATCTTTCAGCTGCAAAAGAAGCGAGTCTTCATCCCATGTGAACTCCCAAGTACCATTGTCTTTTCTGTGTGCCCTTAATGGAAGCTGGTTACCAACAATGATCATCCTCTCTTGAGAGACTGAGGATGGAGTATCAGAGCCAACACTGTTGCCGGTCTCATCATCTAGCTCTGACAATACTCCAGCAACAGTTGCCACTCGAGGGAGCCTTTTCTTCTCGCGACCAAAACTTGGGGAGCCACAGGAAGTAAGATCTAACAAGTTAGAATATGACCTCGAAACCATTTTGATGATAGCCAAATGAACCTTGGTTTGGTGTACAAGATGCAGAAGCAGGCTTATTCAATTTTCCACTTCATAGTCCCTCAAACAACCATAATCAGGATGCAATTTCAGAAATCTGAAAACAAATTAAATGTCATTTATACACCTAAACTAATAAGTCCAGCAGAATCAACATCACCTAACAAAAGTTTGATATGTTTTCTCTACACCTCAGGATTTCAAAAAATTCAGGTTCATCCTTATGAGAACAATTCAGCGAGGGATATAAACTAAAATCTAACCCTTGAACAGTGGAACTCCTTCAGCTAGGCTTACAGTAGTGGTATACTTTAGTGACAAATTATGTTCGAAGAATACCACGTTCAACAAAAGAGGCAACCACAACAACAATTTGAAAAAATCCTAGATAGAGAATATTTGAATCTATTAATAGAATTATTAACAATACCACCTACCAAACAATAAAAATCATCCAGAGACACTTAGAATTGGAGCAACGTTAAGGATGGCTGCGTGAAAACTTAAATCGATCCGAACATCAAGATATATAAAAATGTACTATAACGAAGAAGCTCAAAATAGGAGAAAGTAGCCCAAAAGATGAATGAACAGAAGAGAAAGAAAAGGAAGAAGATTTTCACAGCAGCAATGAAGAAAATTCTACCCTTGAAAACAATAAGCAAGAGAGAGGTGGTGTGAGTTGATGTATGAGACAGACACCCAAAGATTCTTGTTTTCTCAGTCACACCCTCTCTCACTCACTCACACACACACACTCACCTCAGTGAGTAATGGCATCAACTGGGAATCCCTTTTCTCTTACCTTTTTGCCTACAAAAACAGAAAATTCATAGTGATATTTTTCGCCTATTACACCCAACTAACGACAAATTGGATGTCTTTATACAAAGAACTTGATTCTCTCCCTCCCTCAAACACACGCACACACTCTCACTATGTCTCCATCTCAGTGATGTGTGATGACATGACTACCCCAACACAGTGAACTCCAACATCCTTAACCACGGTTAGTTTTCCTTAATGAGAGATTAACTCCACCTAACCCCCTCTCAAATGTGACGGTGGTGCCTCATTGCAATCACTAAATACTAATACACGCTTAATGCACAGCACAGCGCGTGTAATCACGCCACCATTTTTCCGGTTCCAGCATATATTCCCTTCTCATTCTCCTCTTTGCAAAAAGGCCTTGTCTGGTTTTTAAGGTCCAAAACTCCAAATATATTCTAACTAACTCATCAAATTAATTTAAAGCTAAGCAGTTTTTAGGTTCCTTAAATTGTCGTTTAGACATGGTTAATGACTGCTTCAACTAAATTAATTTTATTATTATTTTTGGTCATATTCACAGAGAGATAACTCGTTAATTCTGTTGTGAATAATGTTTCTTAGACAATATATATTGTGTTAAGTATTAAAATGTTACTATAATTTTGTACAAATTATTGACAAGCACGACCTTAGAATTTGCTTAGAGTATATTACACGCGCAATATTAGTGAACAAAATCGCAACATCTGCCCTTTAAAAAAGATTTTAGAGCTTTTTAATGAACAAAGTGATTCCTGTTTGTTCTTCCGGCTCACATTCACAACATATTTGGTTGAAAAATTATATTTTTAAAAACATTTTTCAGAGACAGTAGAAAAATGATTATATATATATATATATAATGCAGATTCTCATACCTGAAATATTTTTTACATATATATGTTTGTACAATTTGAAAAGTATAAATGAATATATATATATATATAAACAGGCTAATCCAAATATGCATTCAAATCTTAAACATTACCATGCAAATATTTGGAAGAGAATACAAGAGAGGGGAAAATTATGTATAAACATGATAATAGAAAATTACAACTATATAAATGACATATATGTTATTCATGTACTTAAGTAATGTGATGCAAACATATGCTGTATATCAATATATATTTTCGTCCACGTTTTCATAAATTACATAAAATAAATGTAATTTATGGTAAATATTAATTTAAACTTTTGTTAATATTTAACTTATAAATATTTTTTTTTACCACAAATATGAAATCTATTATGAATTTTGTTAAAGAAATAATATTTCAATTTGTGGGATACACGAAATAAATATTTATTTTATAACTAAAATTTATAATAAATAAAATTTTGAACACAAAAATAATATTTTAGATTTATAATAAAGAATTTATATTGTAATTTGTCTAATAAACTATTGGTATTTTTAAAAAATAAATTTAACTTAAAATTAAAATTTTTAAAATCTTAAAACACCCTTAAAAAAATTATAAAAATACTCTTATTATAAAATAACTTTTAAAAATATTGTTGTAAATAATAGTCATTCTAACTTATAAATAGAGAAGATATTACATTTAAAAGGTAAAATACTGTATTTAAAACATTTTTTTTTACATATACATATATTTTTTTGTTCTATCTACACCAACCCCCACCCATTCTTTGAGCTGGAGATTTTTCCCTGATTGATTCACAATCAGAGTTTTGGTTTTACAGAACACCAACAGCACGTGTTTCTTTTTTTCATCTTCTTTTGTTGGTTTATGGCGTCATTGAGCAATGAGCATTGCAAACCCATTTTAAATTTAAATTATGTATCCCTTCTCTTTTACTCTTTGTGTATTGAATGAGCCTTTTCTTTCTTTTCTTATTTGACTTCCTTTTCAGTCATGGAGTTTAGCCTCAAGCTATCGTCATTGCTCATTAATAATAATTGCGAAAGAGACATCTAGTTTAGCATTGTAAAATATTTTGTCCACTTGAATAATTAATAATCGAATGTGCATTCTTAGAACATAAATACATAACTCAATAGATTTTTTTTTTTTTATTCTTCTCTGGTTAATTTATTTTTTCCGAAATAGAAAAATATTAAATTGAACTTTTAAAGTTACATGCATTATTAATTAGTTTTATAAAAAAATGATCGAACAAATCCTTCAAATTTTGAAATTGTTATCATGTTAATATTTCTATTTTTTGTTCCGAATTAAGCCCGTGAAAGAAATATTAAATGTTAAATAACTCCAAAATGAAAGACTAAAGTGATGATAAAAATAAATTTTGAATGATTCATTTAGCTTTACATTAAATATTTGAAAAAAATATTTTGGTGACAAGTTCTTTAATAACTAAAATAGTAACATTTCGAAAAACTAGTATATTGAACATTAAAAAAAACATCAAGACATATAATTTAAACTGACAAAATTATGGTTTTGCTTTTTTCTCTCTCGATATTTTATTTTTATTTTCCATTGATCTTCCTTGTGTTGCGTTAAAGACTTTTTTCCTCTTTAAAATGTTTATTTTTTAACCTATTTTAAGGTTGTGTATGATTTGAATTTTTTCTTCCTTTCTCCTTAAAATTAAATTTTTACTCGAATGCATTTGAAATATTAAGGAATATGATTTTTATACAAAAATAAAATAAATAGCTTTGAAAATTAAATACTAGAATAACTTTTAAAAATAATTTACATATCTGAACCTACTTTTATTTCTCATATTGAATTAATAAATGTGAGACAATAAAAAAAAAATATTTTAGTTTTAAAAAAATTAAATTAAAACAATCAAATGAATTCTACTCTATTTTAAAGTGGTTATTTTAAGTTTTGACTTTAAAACATTTAAAAAAAAAGTCAAACATAACCTAAGAGTTTGTTACTAACTTCGTGTTCGATAGGGGTGAACCAGAAAATAAATGAAAGAGAAGAAAAAAAGTCACTATAATTTCCTTTGTGTTTGGTAGTAAATAATTAAGAAGAGAAAAATCTTGAAAAAATTTACGAAGAGTCTACGTGACTAAACTTTTGATCTAAATCAAGCCTAAACGGACAAAAGTTAACATTAATTAGTATAAATATTGCACAAACTAAATATTGATTATAAATATACTACTAATGAATTATATAAATAATATTATATTGTAAATTTACACAGATAAATATTTTTAAGCAAAAACAATACTTATTCTCGTACAGATCTTCTTGCACAATAATTAAAGAAAGAATTAAATGAAAATTAAATACACTTAATATCTTAAAAATACAAAATGCATTTAATATTTACTTGTTTTAGTATTAATTAGGAGAATTTGTAAGAGAAATAAGTAGGGAAATATAAACATAGAATTTTTGTGAATATGTCTGGCGATCATCCGGCCGTTGTTATTTGTTGGCATACAACAAGGGGTAACTCCAAGAACATTGGTTGTTATATTAATTTTTTGTTGGCTTTGGGCGTGTCATGTTCCTTTACATTTGAGGTGCATCCCAAACTTCTATTACTAGAAAATTACATGTCATATGATTTATAAATTGGTTTCATGGCAACTTCAATCGATATCTGGACCCAACATGTTAGATTAAAATTCCTAATGTATAACAAAATAGATTGCGTGATCCAACGACTTAGAAATTAGTAGCACAATTACGATTCATCTTTCACTCTAAGCAAACTCTGGGATATAACATTTTTTCTCAAATTAAGACCATACTTGCTGTCATCAATCCTGGAATAAATATTTTAATTAATGGTTAGTTTTATTATTAATCAAATGCTTTTTTTTAAGTCTTTGATTTTGTGTAGAAGTATATACTTTTATTTAATTTTTTTTATTACATGGTCATTTATTTATTTACATACCATCCAGATTCAAAGATCAATTAAAATAATTAAAATAAGTTGAATCGGTAATCTTTTTACACTTCTTTATTTGAGACTAAAGAATTGTCTATCCTCTAAACTTAATGTCAATTAAAAAAGGTAATTGAGTCAATTACATCAACCTCTTAATACTTACAAGTTTGAGACTTGAAAATCATATATCTTTTATATTCAAAAATTGATTAAAATAAACTATTTTAATTGAACATATGCAAAATATTATATTGGTTACCTAATGAATTAACCAAAACAAAGCTTCATGATTTAATATCATGATTATATAGTGGTAACTAGAGTTAGAAATATTTATGCTAGATTTTTTTAAAAATATCTCATTAGAATTTAAAATATTAATGTAATTAAATACAATTATATAACCATTTCTTAAGGTCAAGATGAGACATATTACACGTTTAAATGTTTTAGAATTTTTTTTGTTGGAAACGATACTTTATACAAAATAATTTAAAGTATATGATTAAATTAGTTTGAGATTTTATATCGCTCTTATTTTAGTCATTAATTCTAACGGAAACTTAAAAAAAAAAAAATTAAAATATAATTCATCACTCATTTAAGTTCTTCGGTTAAATAAACTTCATTTTTTTAAAATGAAAGTGTCTACATGACACAATAATACCATATGACATATATATGGTATATATGTGGAGTGACACTTAGGTGTGTCATGTGTCAAATATGTACCATGTGACATAACATTATCATTTTAATATTTGAATGTGTAACATTATGTCACTTCGATCTCTGAAATTGTAACTTAATATCAATTTAGTCCCTAAAACTTTAGATTGATGTCACTTTACTTTCCAAATGTTATTATAATTTTATTTAAATTAAGTAGTTATGGCTTGAATATTTACACAATAAAATAGATAATTAAGTTAATATTGTAAATACAAAGGTTATTATATTCATCTTTCAATTATAAAATTTTACTCTTTTTTATTCATTTAATTTTATAATACACAAATAAAAAAATTATAGTATATATATATAAATAAATAAATAATATCAAAGACCTAAAAATGTAATTTTTGGGAAATGAAGGTAATATATATTTTTCACAAAAAAGATAAGAAATAATTTATATAATAGAATTAATTATGAAAATAAAATATAAATATAGAAAAATCATAAACTATTTTTGTTTATGTATTTTAGAAGTTAAAATAGATAAAAGAGGGGGCAATTTGACAACTAGAAGAAGAGATATAACATTTAAAATAAAAATTAGTATTTTAATTTATACAATACACATATTAAATATTTATTATATATAATTAAAACTTAAAATAAATTATGTATATAAATTGATATTATGTTTGAATATATAATTATATATAAAATCTGAATAAATAGTTATTTTTAAATATATAAATTATATTTTATATTTATGATAAATAATTTATATTCTAATACAATATT